AGAGTAGAATTTGAAATGAAATTTAGTCCTGAAATTGTACACAAATCTCAGGTAAAAAAGTTATCCATCAATGTATCACTTGGGTGCTGTCTCCAGCATCACTGATCAACAAGATTCATTGAATGACCACCAAGGAAAAGAATACACAATTCAGTCAGATGAAGATAGCTGTCCAGTCTAGACTATTTCATCTCTGTCTTGAAGATATTCTCCTTTTACACCAACACACCTGGAGATGTTTAGTACGACTGAGGATCATTTTATAACCCATTTTGCCTGAGAGGGGGATGATCTAGATGATTAGTAATCATGATCGACCCTCTGTCAAACAAAATACATTTATGGAGGACTGCCAAATAAAGACAACTCAACTTAACAAACAAGTCTGGCCCTTCATACAGAATTGAATGTCAACACTGGAACTAAATCCTTGACTCAAACAGTCCATGGATCGACGTTTGTTATCAGTCAAATTTGTTAAGAAATAAACTTTAAACGCACTGTAAAAATAACATCTGATAATAAATTACAGCTGACTGGCTTCAGGAGTTTGTTTCTAAGCAGGTGATTGGTCCATCAGTGACAGCTGGTCTGATGAAGGTTGAGTGAAAAGGGGAAGGTGCAGTCGATGTAGACAGGATAAAGTTGGCATGGCTTGACTGGAGGACAGGAAGTACTAAGAAGTACTACAGTATGTTATGTACGTGTCTCCTAATGTCACTGTCTCAACCTGTGACTCAGCCTCCAAGTAAGTAGGGGAAAGTTTACCATCTGTGACTGTGTTTGGTTGAAGTCGTTGTTTCTGGTTGTACGGACAGGATGTTTGGCCTGATTTTACTCCTAGTTACTACTAGTTGAGAAAGGACTGGGATGTCAAAATTGACACAAAATTGCTCTTAATGACACTAGTGACCAGGATGGGAGGAGTTAGCCATGATTTTACCTGCACGGCTCAGGTTCCTTGAGTTGTAAAGGTCATGTCAAAGGTCAACCCTTTTTATTTTTATCTCCTGGTTTCACTGTCATGTCCTCCCAGATGTCTCTGTGACTGGCTCTGGGCCTCCATGTTGGCGGTGACGTGTGGTCTTGGGAGCTTGTTCCCCCTCCCTGGCTGAGGCTCTGTCTTTTATATGATGTTGGAATCTAAGCACCAGAGAGCGGAGGTGAAGTCAGGTTACAGGGCTTAGCCTTTTTTTACTTTCTGAAACACTTCTTAGTCATCCGTCCCCACCGGCCAACCAGAACTGGAAGCAGCAGAGTGGAACGGGTCCTAGTAGTGGTCTGATAGCAGAGCAGCTGTCACGTGTATGATAACAGGACATGTTAGGACGCCAGGAACCACAGTGTTTACTTCACTGTGCTGTTGCTCTGTTTTGCAGTAATGGAGTTTTTCCATGAAGACAGTTTCTAACCTTCTCATTTGGGACACATCGATTAGGAAATAAATGTAGCAAAAGGTTTACCAAAATATTTAAAAATATATTTTTAAAAAAAGTGTCGCATTTCAGTGAACATAGCAGACTACTGCAGTGGTGAGAGTTGTTAAACAAGTAACACAGAGTTCGACGTGCTTTTCACTCTGTAGCTACATTTACTGTAGTTAATGACCAATTAACAGAGCCTCTGAGCAGACTTGTGGAAATGTCCCATTACCATTACACCATCATGAATTAGGTGAAACGAAATCTCAAAGTGAAATGTCACTGACATGGTAGGCACGGTGGAAAAAACCTGTCACTGGCTTTAGTTTAAATCAGTAACAGAACAGGCTTTGATTTGTACAGTTTCCTAACGCTCTGTTCACTCATTACTCCCAGGCCCAGCAACATTTAATGCTCATAAAAAAAAGTTTTCACAAGCCAGTATTTTATTTTCTTCTCTTTGATTGTTCATTGTGGCTAAAGTTTACAAATTCCATTTTTCATCTGCAGGCAATATTTCCAGCGCTGATGTTCGGGCAAAATCTAAAATAAATCATCAAGTCAGATAAACACTCGAGGAACATGTCTTTTCTCACTTTCTGAGCCAACACTCAAAACAATGCATTATGGATCAATTATACAATGAACCGAGTGCAGTCTGTTTCAGATGTCATCCATGTTGTTGTCAAAAATCCGTTCACACCTAATCACTCACTGTTTACATTGATGTAAACATTACTTTTAACTTGAAACTATTTTACACATATGGATTTATATCAGTGAGCTCTTGTCATAACATCACATCTACTGTAGATGGGATTACAGAGTACAATAAGACTGATCGGATCAGTACATTTATATGACTCATGATTAGAATAAATATATAGATCAACAAAAAACCAAGTGCTCCTTTAGCTGGAAATATATGGCTTCGTTTTTCTTTGGATGAAATTCAAATTAAATATAACACGCCTTCAGAATAAAAGTCAGTTAAGAGACTCCTGCATTTCCCCCTGGGAAGCAGGGGAGCCTTTAAGGAAGAAAGTTAAGAAAAGTGGTTCTTGCTCAATGCACAGCCACAGTCGTAGTGGAAATGTAACCTGTGATCCTATGATAATAAGCCCCGTCCTGAAACCACTGTGCCACAGGCTGCGAGTAACTGTGTAATAAAACCTGTTAAAGCTTTTGGAGAGGTCTGAAAGACGTGTCGCGTTTAAGACATTAAAAAAAACTACATTAAAGTAGTAGATCATTGTAACTTACCATCATATGGGTTTTGGGTTCGAATCCCACCTTGACCTTCTTCAGTGGGCCCTTCTAACAGCAGTACTTGACATCTACGCTGTGTAATAGTTTCAGTAGTTGCCCTTACAAATACAGGCTAAATATCCAACAAAGTAATCTTTTGAGAAGTTGCTCTACCTCGTACTTCCAATTACTAATGACTGACTGCATTTGGACCTGAATGATGATGTGTGTTTAGGGTGATTACTACAGTCGGATCAAGTGTAATTAATCAACAGTCATATCAGCCCAGATCAGGTTCACCGATTTCAGAGGTGGTAATATATGTCCGCTCTTGTTACACACTTAAACTCTGCAGTTTGCACATTTCCTTCTCTTTCACTGGAATCAACCTGTTCCAGAAAGAATAAAACGCTTGGAAGCGGAGGCCTCTAACCACGTTGGCATGATGTCATCACCAGGAAAAGTCATTACATGAAAACAACTGTTCAAGTCTCTACGCCTTATATTCTAGACTGGATTCAACGGTGAAATAAAATGTACTTCGTTCACTCTCCGGAGGTCCACTCAGTGTCATTCCAGCACACTCTTATAACATGGGCGCATTTACAAAGAGTGGGAGCGCATAATGATGATGATTCGATAATCACAGCAGTTAGGGAGAAATCTAAAAATTTATTAGGGAAGGTCGCTTGGCAGATGTGAGTATGTGACTTTATGCACGGTCACAGTGAACATGACGGATTCTGTTAAATTGATACAGTAGCCTGATTTTTTTTTTTCGTTTTCCACTTTTCCTCTAGCTCAGAGGAAAAGTGGAGCAGAGTGAAACTCTCGCCTTAGCTTGCAGCACAGAGACAGGAAATCCTCCTTTTGATTGTGAGAAGAAGGAGCAGAGCTAACAACAATCACTCAACCTCTGTTGTTCCATGTCTGCACCTAAAACGCAGCACCGCAGCCACGGCATGGGCCGGGTGGCAGAAACACACACACACAAACAGAAACTTTGCTCAAAGTGACTTTGCCATTTGATAATGAAACCCAGACCCAGGCCGACTGTTTATTCCTACTTGAGCCTGTGGGATTTAGCGTTTCTTTGGTCTTGAGTCTTACAAACCTCAAGGAATCTGTTCAGTACTAACGTCATCCAGCTCCACCATCTCCCCAAAACTGGTGAAGAACAATAGCTGATTTCACACAGGCGTCGAGAAAAAAAATGAGATGTGTTACAGATGACCATTTTTAGTCAAGACATGTTTTTCTCTAAAGCAATAACAGACTGGATGTCTTAGCCCATACCTATCAGATCTGGACAGCAGACTTGGATGTGTTCATATGACAATGTTGTGCTTCTTAACTTCAACGAAAACAAACCAGGGTTATACCAACACTCCACATACTGCAGTACATTAGGTAGATTGTCTTACCAAAGCAAAGGGATGGAGGAAAACATGATACTTGACGGCACGTTTTCTTCAAGCGATGACAAACTTTGAAATCTTAATATTTTCTCATTTCCCTCCAACAACTGATTTGTCTGGCTTTTGCACCTGACTGGTTCCCCCCTTGGTGACAGCTCTCTTTTGTGACCTCAGCTGTTCTCTACACAAAGATTATTTATTTTATAATGGCATAACATCAAAAACCAGGTCAAAAACTCTTACTGAATGGCTCAAAACCACAGGTTTCCCTCCAACACCATCAGGCTCTAATACAATGTACAGTAAGTACTTCCACTAATGGTCAAACAGAGGTGGACAGAGCTCCAACTGCTGTCTGTGTTCACACAACACTGGCTAATAAACACAAGGCCATGTCCCACATGTGGTTTACATTAATTAGGCTTAGAACACATGTAAAAACCATTAAACATAATGATTCTGCTCCAGCCTCCGATCTCATCGTTCTACTGATACGAACCAGGTTTTGCCCTTTTATAAAATATAAGTGGAATTCTTGCTTTAGATCGTCGCTCCCAACGGAGTAAGCTGTTAGTTCTCTCGGCACAACTGGAGTAATTTTTTTAACGACAAAAGAGGAGGATGAGGCCACTGTGCTTGGTGCTGACGTACAAGAATCTCAGTGAATGGGCCAGAAATCTGCTAGGAATGAGGTTAAAGGGTGTAGCTGTTGATTGAGCTACAAAAATGTTCTTGTTTCTTTTGAATTTTCAAAAAAAAAACACCTTGTCCTTAAATCCACGCTCTGACCTGAGTTATTTTGCAGTGACAGTTGATATGATCTGGGTCAGTGTTTACAAATGCTATTGTAAAAAAAAAAATCATCTCTCGTATGTTGGTTCTGACCTTTTGCTCCCACTCTCGTGTCTTTCAGGTGTGTATGTACCAACTGGGACTGGGATTGGACCAGGTGGTGTTGGAACAGGAACTGGATTCTTTCCAGGTAACAGAGCTGCCTCCAATGGCTGTCTGGCAGCTTTAGACCAGGACTCAGCCACAACAGAGTCTGTTTGTGATTAGCGGAGGTATAACAGTCACGGTGAACTGTACAACAAGACTGTTAAAAAAAAGGCAAAAAACAATAAAACAACCTTATGTCAACCTGGGCTTGAACTTGTCAACATTAGTAGCTGCTTTATGTGGTAAACCAATGTCATTTTTCTGTGTGTATACTGTATGTAAACTTACAGCACTGGAACTCTACTGCGGTTCTATTATTGTTCTTGCATTAATTAACACACAGTAGGTGCCAGTGTGCTGAAATAAATATAAAAATATACAATATTGGAATGGGTTCCATACATAAAATTACTATGCTTTAAATAATAAGTTATGAAGTGGGATTCTAAACAGCAAAATCACACACCTGTAACCACTCATGTAGGTACAACTATACTCACCAATCTGTGTTGTTGTTGTTTTCAAAAGGATCTGCTGGAGCAGGCCCTGCAGGATATAAACCAGCCAAGGCTGGAGGTGAGTGCACCCTGGATTTACTGTGTTAGCTTGTATTAAATCTAAGGAGACTGGTCTTGTTTATTGTAAACACATATGATGTTATGTAATCACACATACTTCAACAACAAAAAATGTTAATTTTTTATTTCTAACTCTACCGTACCAGGACTGTTGAGCTAACGCTAACAGACAGCTCTGGTGTCTGTATCAGGACTGTTGCAGCTAACATTAGCTCTGGTGTCTGTATCAAAACTGTTGTAGCTAATGTTAGCTGCGGTGTCATTAACAGGATTTCTGTGGGTAATGTTAGCTTTGGTGTTTGAACCAGGACTAATCTAGCTAACGTTAGCACTTGTGTCTGAACCAGGACTGGTATAGCTAGCATTAGCTCTGGTGTCAGGACTGTTAAACCTAACATTTTAGTTCACCAGGCTATTGCAGAACCACATGTAAGTAAGTAAGTTTTTATTGTTTTTGTATCCAGTTAGTTTTTTACAGTATTTTACTCGGGCATTGTCCAGTAACACATTTATAGCAGAATCCTGCTACTTTTAGCTGCTCTCTTCTGGCAGATCTCGTTGGCTGCAGTCTGATCCAATATGCCCTCTTTGGAGTATTTAAATGTACAAGACAAACTTTCTGGGAATAGATTATTCTAAATTAAACCATTTCAACACTGTGATATTTTTAAGTTCAAATTGCACGTGTTTGTGAGATGGAGAATCCAACAAATTAAACCTAATAAAAACCAAGATAAAACAGATTGCATTTCTACAGACAGATCTGGAGGAAACAGACTTCCAGACACAAGTTAGAATAATTCAACTCAGGATATTGCTGTGATAAAAACGATGTTGTCCAGACCAGCCACTAAATCAATGCCATTTCATTAAAAACATTTTACAGCTTTTGTGGTTTGGTTAAACGTTGAGGTCAGTTAACTTTATTCTTGATTTTTTGTTTTTAAAATATGTTGATTAAAACTGTTGAGCAAAAATGTTGATTAATGAAGACAGGAATAATAATGATGTGCTTAATCATGTTTCCTTTACAGTCGGAGGTTATGGAGGTGGTGCAGGCGTCGGTGTGGGTCCAGGTGGTCTAGTACCAGTTGGTGTTGGACCAGGAGGAGTGAGATTAGGAGGTATGTGTACATATACTTGTCTTTTTGCCAAAGTTTTTTCGTTCATTAATAAATATTAGGGAAATGCCACAAAAATTTCAACACATCACAAAATCTGCCCTCTGTTGGGGGCAGATGTAAACAGGGATTTGGGGCAAAATGTCCTTAAAAATTTCCCTTTCTCTCTCCTCTGGGGAAGACTGTGAATTATTAATAGACTTATAGGAGCCAATGTCATTGTCTTCTAAATGTCGTGCAATACCCTAATGAGCCACAGATGACACTGTTTATATTGTGGTGTTGAAACTAAGATTTAAAAAGAAGGTCCTGCAAAAAAAGAATGACAAAATATTTGAAAGCAAGCGCTTAATGTTCAAATGTTTAAACCGAATACTGTACTGTATACTATAGAAAAAAGGGGAAAAAAGAAAGAAAAAGAAAAAGCAATGTGTATTTTAATGAAATGATCTAAACATTAACTTTGTCTTTCTTCTTGTTTTTTACCCAGCAGGCCAAGGTGGGAAGGGACCTAAACCAGGTAGGCTGAAGAATTATATTAACAATGTATGAATGCTGTATTTAAGGACTATATTCTTAGATGACATTTGAAACACCTTGAAAATGCTTCATAATGCTATGTGGTATACTGTACATCATTTAGGAACTACTGGTTTTCTGTCTTGTGGTCAACCAGTCAAGTCAGGTTAATTTCTACAGCCCAGAGTCACAAACTCATGTTGCATGAAGGGACTTTACAATCATAGATACATGTTAAGGTTGAATCACCTCCAGAAACCTCCAAAATAATCCAAATAATAAACCTGGAGAGCCAGGTTTGTGATTGGTCGTCGATTAATGTCTCTGCCCAGTGTTTTTCCATCAGCGTTGGTTAACACTGGCTCTGCAGATGTCTTTGGCATCCTTGCAATCGTGCAAAGATTTTACCACTCCTTCACCTGGCCCCCATTCAGGAGCGTTGATTGGCAGAGTGCTAACGGCCATCAGCGCCAGCCAAACAATTGTACCATAGCATTGATTAATGTTGTTGTAATGTTAGACCAACACAATATCTGGAAACCTCCGCTGAACGAAGCCACAGCCCTTCACTCAGACACCGTACAGTAAATATTTTTTCTGGGATTCAGGCCACACTGCGTTGGCACTTTGGAAAGTGTTCAGCAGTCGTTTGATTTCCGCACACGCAGCTGATACCATCTCGGCATACCTCTATGTGTGCTGTAAGATAAGAAACCGGGCAATCATCGTAGGGTCCCAATAACTCCTGGAGCCTGTTACTGAAGGGCCGCTCCTGAGGGCCACACCCCTGCAGACGCCCAAGCGTCGCAGCTGGGGAGAGGCCTCCTATGAAAATGACTTAATTTCCAGTGATTGGTGGAAGTTTATCTTGGCTGACAACAGCAAGGTTTCACTTGGGAAATGTTGTCCCAGCTTTTAAGTGTTCAAGTTCTTCCTCACCAGGCGAATTGTTGGTGAGAAAAGAGGAAGCAACTGGTGTTGAGGGCACCTACTCGTATGTGTGTGTTTGTGTGTGTGTGCACTCCTTTCCACATTCCTTACTAATCCTTGTTGTATTTGAAAAAATTAAAACCGTTAGAGCAGAAAGAACATCTGGGGTTGTTTAAGGTGTATCCTTTTTTTAAACAGAGATCTAAAATCACAGTAACATTTTTACACAAATTTCACTTCAGGGTAGAAGTCAGGTAAACAAACTCCAAATGCTCTAATGTTTCCATCACTGGTGTCTGTTAATATTTTCTTAATCCGTTCTTCCAGGAAAATTTTTACCTGTAGCAATCCAAAATCAAACTGGACACCAGCATAACTTGGATTTATTATGTTTCCATTTTACACAAACCTACAGTACGTAGAGTTGTGCGCATAAGTCTCTGGCTTTCCCTGCCGACAATCTTTTACAATGAAAGGAAGCTAATGCACTTGTAATTTACAAAATCTGTTGAGGTCCTACAAAGCTTCTACGTGATCATTATCTGTCTGCCAAAACATTTGACAAAGGGCTTTTAGCCAAGAACTGGGACTATCTGGGCGTAGTGTACAGACACTCGTTACGAAATGAGAAGAAAGTGAACAAATAAAAGATAGAAAACAAAGTAGCAGGCCAGAAAAATGTCAAAGTCTGATTAATGGTATATCAAAGTAGTTTCTTCTGGAGAGAAAAAAAAGAAAAATAAGAACGAAAAACTGGAAGGATGTAGCTCAGGATAAGAAATGCATTTGGCTTTTCCATTCAATCATCAACTGTTGACCAAAGGCTTATCAAAAAAGTCTTAAAGGAAGGCTGGCAGCCAAATAATGTCTCCAAGGTGGGGCAACAGTGAGTAGAGACTGGGCAAAAGATCCAGGGAAACACACAAAAAGGTTTGACGTTTTTGGTTTGAATCTCCATTAGTATGTGAAGGAATTAATCACTAACAGCTGTTTGGAATTTTTAGTAAAATATAGACGAGGCTCTGTACGTGTTTGGGGCTGCATTTCAGTCAGTAGTGCTGCATAAGAGAGCTGGGTAAAGATGATGAATTGATTGAGTTCAGAGAAGTTCTTCAGACACAAAGCCCTTTCTGACGCAAACCAACCCTGGATTTGACACTGGCTGGTATCGAACCAAGAACCCTTGACTAATGAAAAAAATTATGAATCTCCAACATCGTACATGATCTTGAAAACAGATGGTGGCACATTTTCAGTACTTGGTTTGCCTCAAACTGTCTGGACCTCAGTATGGACAGGGAGGAGGTTACCGGGCAACAAACCTTTGAAAAACAGATTTTAATCTTTTAAGTTCCTTGAACAGGTTTACTCAGGAATACCTTAAAATAATGGGAAAGTAATGACAAAATATTTTCATGCATTCTTCAAAAGAATGGAATCAGAAGGAATATTAACTACAGGTATATCAAGCACAAAACCATTGGCAGCCAAGGACAATAGTCTGCACAGACTGTTTCCATCAGCTCACAGGTCTGCGGCAGAATGACTCGTAGTTCACTGGTTTTTCAAGAACACGTGAACATGTTTTATTCAAGAGAGGTCAGTGAAGGCATCGGTACACGTCTTGTACAAATGTCGGTTCTTATATGCATCCTCCGTGGCTCATGCAGTGACAATACCACAATCCCCAGACTTGCACCTTCCCAGGTCAGTAATCAGGAACAGAACTCTGACTACGTTGTAGCGTGACTGCACTGAATTTCAGTGTAGCTCATGCAAGACCTTGTGAATGTTAAACTAATTGTGAAGCCTGTCAGTTTCCAACACTGACGATGAACCGAAAGCTGAAGAGAGGGGGGTTTCCTTTCAGGAACAGCTGTTGGACACTTTCTCTTCTTTCCTGCCTGCTTCCAGGCAAATGTGGAGTCTAGTCTCATCTCCGTGATTCCTGAGACTTGGCACTGGGAGGCCAGCTTCTTGTCACTTTGAGGCAGTCTAAGGGGAGTTAACAAGAAACATGGGGTTTTTTTTTTGCCGTGTTGATGGAGCTTTATCTGCTTTCCGCTGAGGAAAAATGTGTCTGAGCTGAATGTTTTAGGTGGGTGTCCATGTTCCGCCTGCCAACCGAATCTGTGAGAGCAAATTGAAGACAACATGCTGTCTGCCCAACTTGCTCCCTCTTGCTAAATACTGAAAAAGTAACAGTGCACACCACCGTGGTTGAGTTTATTCAAATTTGAAACCTGTTAGTCAGACACAGCTGGAAGTGAATTCAAAATACTTTAACCAAAAGCACTCGGTTGATTTTCTCTTATACGTAACCTCAGCTTTATGATCGTTTTTAATATCTTGTGCATACAGTAAGTACTCTACATCACGGCCAGTGTTTTCCTCTTTCAGTTCAATCTCTCATTGTCCTTATGGTAGTTTATTTGAGTAGTTCAACAACATTGGCAGTTTGGAGGAATTTTAACATCAGGCACAAAGACCGGAGCAGGACTGACTGTAAGATTTATGCTGCTGTGATCCCGGCCTCCTGCTGGGCGTCCCCACTGTGATGCCCTCACCTGTTCTCACAGATGTGTTTCACCTGTACATAACACATCCAGTTCATTGCATATTTATCGAAAGAAATGCAGACATATAGTTAAAAAGAAAAATAGCAAAAATACTATTTCATGGCTTTTTGTCACACATTTGTGTCTCTGGAATGTTTGTCTACTCCTTGAGAGAGTTGTAGGTGCTATGTAGGTGATTTACCATGTCAGTGATTTATAATCTGCCAAAAATCTAAACAGGCAAGTGAAGAAGCCAGCTGAAATGTCCCCTTCAAAGGTAGGAATTCTTATCTAAGGTAATTTAGTCAAAACTAATCCTTCTAAAAGAGTTTGTTATTTTAAGTTACATGAACAGTTAAAACAAACGTTCTTTACTCAGTAACTGTGTCTAATACATACTGATGGAGCAGTTAGCCCAGTAGTTCCCAGGCTTTTTTTTGGCTAGTGACCTAAGGGTTTTGACATCACAAATTTCTGGCAACCCCAGAGACATTTATTTTGTCTAGAATTCATCCTTGTTTGTTTTACTGTGTCGTAAATACAGAGATTAGACTAATTATCACATGATGTTTTTATCAGTATTTCTTATATTAATTACTTGACATTTCAGGTGATCTCATTTTAATTCCAGAAGATCTAAGAAGGGGTCACAACCCCAAAGTTAAAAGTGTTTTAAAATGATGCAGATCTGAGTCAGTGATCGTTATTGAACGTGTTGTTGATTCTATATATGTTTGACTGTCTGCAAAATATTTAGTTTTTACCTTTTTTTTACCTTTAGTAATATTTTATATTATAGCAGCATTATTTTAAAGCTCTCAGCAGTCCCTGACCGTTTCTTTTCTTCTTGTGGACAACAAGACCTTTTTACAAAGACAGAAAAACACTGTCAGTGGACACATCTGTGCTGTCACATTCACTTTACAATATAATTTTGTCCTTGCAAATCCACATGCAGCGCAGGAGAAGCCAGATCTGGTCACAAGAGAGGCATCAACAAACAGGAATACATGTCAGTGTCAGGCGTGAACAGTCGTACTTAGCACTGAACAGGGCCTTTGAGGATTCCAGAGTCCAGACGGCTGTGAAACGGAGAACTGCAGCCTTTTTGTTTTTGTTTTGCAGACGTTACATATGTGGATTTGAGTTTCATTACCCAAATACTTATTTAGTAGCTGGAACTCTCCAAGAGTTTGCTTGAATGCAATTGATTGTCCACGAGCTCATTATGAACTCTGAAAGTCTGGATCGTTTGAAAGATTAGATCATGCGTATCTCACTACATCACCGATTTGTACACCTGTTTCTTTTGTTCATCTCCAAAGCCTCTGGTTTATATCAGGGATTTAGTTTGAAGGCACAGTCAGTGCACATGTTTGCTCCACGACAGGGAGTGGAGGAATGTGGGAGAGATGAGGAAGTACGGAGGACAGAGAGGAGAAGGAATGAATGGATCGAGGTTGAAAAGGGCTGATAGTTCGTGTATACAGTAAACATCATCCTTCACCGACAT